ACGTGTCCGAGGAATTTTTTTTCTCTCGCATATTTTCGATAATACAAGCTATCGAAAATTTGAGAATAACGAGTTTTTTGGCTTGGAGACTCATTTTCAAAAATTTATAACTCTGGTTCTATTTGAGCTACAAACTTCTTTTTTTTTCATTTTAAAGCTTAAGGACTGAATTTTAATAAAAAAATATTTTTAATAAATATTATTAACAAATTCATATTGTTATTAACAATTTAATTGTTTAAATAAATTTTTAACAATGGCCCCCACCTCGTATTAAGTTTTTAGTATTTTTATCGTATTCTCCGTCAAACTTCTTTTTTTTTTCATTTTAAAGCTTAAGGACTGAATTTTAATAAAAAAATATTTTTAATAAATATTATTAACAAATTCATATTGTTATTAACAATTTAATTGTTTAAATAAATTTTTAACAATGGCCCCCACCTCGTATTATGTTTTTAGTATTTTTATCGTATTCTCCATCAAATTTTACATAAAAAACATGTTTTCAACATATGGTACCTTTATTATTACTATTGTTAAAACATTAATTTGTATTGCGCGACACATAAAAAAACGGTTTTTTGTTAATAAAAAGAAAACTATAGCTCAGATCAAAAAAAGTCAAATATAAAAGTTGTAGATAATAAAAAGATATACAATTTTTATTTTAACATATATGATATTTGGTTAATAAGGATACATCTCTCTCCTAATTTTGGAACTAGCTCCTTAAAATTCTCCGGTGTTAGTGTGCACACTTTCATTGAAATGGCTTCCTCTGCATCAAAAAGACAAATTGTTTAGTACAAATTAGTTTATGATAAAGAATTTATTTAATTTTTAAAGCTGCTTTTTTCCATAAAATACAGATATTTGTTATACAAAAGAGTAAATTTAAAACTGAAGAAATATACTTTTCTGGCTTGCTCCCTATTAAGGGTTTAGTTTATATTTAACTTACGTCATTTAAATACACTCGTTTGCCCGATTCGTTAAATATTAATATAATACTCTGTTAAGGCATTGCGTTCTCTAATTATTAAAGAAGGCAATGTTAAAGCCGATATTGCTTTATTATTATTATAGAAACTACAACAGATTCATTAATCTGCCTGGTTACCAGTGGTAAAGGGGGAAAATATATATATTAATATTACGTACCTTCGAATTTGGCGGCAAGATGACCTAAGCCACAACATTCCAGAAATTTTGCGCAGTCCTCTTCGTCGGTCATTATAAATAAAGCTTATAATATAATATAATAATATAATATGTATTATATAAGTACACGTTTTAAAATTACTTATTTACTTATTAGGTAACTTTTAACCAAAAACATTCGATGCATCCATCAGCATGTATCACAGGCAAACGTGTGGAGTTAGTTTGGGAAGATGGGGGATGCGCGCGCCATAATAAACAATAAATAGGTATTTACACTGCGAAAGTTAATTATTAGCTCACGACTTAAATATGGAATTTAACTATAAGAAAATGATTATTTCGTTATAATTCTTCCCATTGCTTCCTTATTAACTAACACCCCGGTGACTGGTAAAATACCTTTCGCTAACAATTATCAGTATGTTACAGATTAGATAAAATATAATAAAGTAATTTAATAATGAGAGCAGTTTGTTTATATTAAAATAAAATCTTCAAACATAGGATCATTTAATTTTAAAATTGTTCATTATTTTCTCCGAAATTAGCATCTATGAATATTAATACCTATGCTTGTAAACAAAAAATCGTGAGCTAAATATCAATAAACTATCCATAACTAATCATGCCTTAACTATTAACAGTCTTTTTCTTTCGGTGTGTGCAATGTTTTTTTATATTTCTATAAAATATTGAAATAAATCATTATTATTTACATTAACTGTTTTATTGCCAACATTTAATAAGTTAATATTAAATTGCATTAGTTTATAATTAAGTTAACACCAGAACTACCATAGATTTATGAATCTAATATTAAAAGAAAATAAGTAACATAAAGATTTATAAGATTTCTATTACCAAGTTATTAGTTAACATTTAACTCAATAAAACTACACACTCATTCTAATTCATTCAAGTTGTTATTAAGCGCTGCTAGATTTCTATCACCAAGTTATAGTTAACATTTAACAAAGTAAAACTACACACTAATACGCCGCTAGTTAACAATTACTACAACCACGGTTAAGATTAATATCGTGCATTTAATAATTACCTACAATTTAGTGCAACAGTTAAATGATTTAGTTTAAATACATGATGAATTAGAATTTCTTCAACGAACCATATTTTACAATCAAACTCACATTATGTGCGCCCTATTCTAAGTTGTAGCTCGTTAGAAACTAACCAGTTACTTTAAGAGTTAACGACCATTTTTCTCAGTGTGAGAATTACAGAATGGATCTAACTGGACATAATTAACGAGGATATAAACTATAATTTCTTAAATTATTAAATTTTTTTGATGATTTTGAGGATAGGAGATTACATTGTAGAACAATAACAGTTATGTCATGGCATCAGGCATGGCCACAGATTATAAAGAAATAGATAGGCAACTCAGTAGGTAACGTGTGATACCGTGTTACAGCGCCACCTAGTGAGAATTCCGCTCTGGTTTTTAGGTTTTTATTAGAAACGAATAATATATTTTTTTGAAGATTCCAATCTTTTTTAAAGCTATTTAACTGCCTAGCAGTTAAATAGTTTTAAAACAAATCGAAATTATAAAGTGTTTTATTACATTTTATACAGCAATATACTGTTATAAAATTTAGAAAGCAAATAACTCTCAGTTGATATAAAATAAATAAATAAATAAATAAAATAAATTATAATAACATACTCTCTAAAAATGACTTAGTCAAAGATGACTAATTTAATAGTTATTAGTGGCTGCTTTTTCACTTGTACCATGGTTAACCATGGAATACCATGGTAACCCAAACAGCCAATTATTATGTAAAATTGTCCCCTGAATCCGAAAATACTGTCAAAAATTATAAAAGTGGAGCAGTTTTTGAGATATAGTCAATTCCATATTAAATGGAAAATTGACTATATCTCAAAAACTGTTCTATTTTTTTTTAACTTTTTCGTATTTAGGGACAATTTTACATAAGAATTGGCTGTTAAATTTTGGGATACCATGATATGCCATGGTTAACCATGGTACAAGTGAAAAAGCAGCCACTAATAACTATTAAATTAGTCATTTTTGACTAATTCATTTTTAGAGAGTACTATTTATTATTGACAATATTATCTAAACTGATTATAGAATCAACGGTACACAAAGAAAAAAGATGTTTTAATTCAAACAGGAATGTTCGTTTAATTTTATTTATTACATTTAAAAAAATATAAATTTAATTCAAAAACAATTCTTTAAAAATAATAATTGTCTTTAAGAAAAAAGCAAATTTATTAAAGTATATAGGTATTTAAAACAAAGTACCTGACTTTTATTTCAAAATTGCACTTATTCTGTTTAAATAAAAGTTGACTTTCTTAAATTATAAAAATAATTTAGGTACCTACTTCTTTTAAAAAATTAAAAAGTTTAAATTAAATAACAAATAATATTTTTTTTAAAACATGGTTTAATTTTAAAATATGATTTTAATTTAATTTAAAAAAATTAATTATTTAATTTAACCAGATTATTATTTAAATACAAAAAAATTGTGATTTAATTCAAAGAAGAGGTTTATTTAAACTTTTTTGCTCACGTAGAAGTAGCATGACTTGCAGTGGCGTGCAGGACGGGCCCCGCAGGGCCCGCGGTGCGGGGGGGCCCCCGACCTTAGGGGGGCCCCGTAGAGAACCACATTGGGTGGTATAAGTGACAAAGGGGCCCCAGCTTCAAATTTGCGGGGGGGCCCCCGATCACCTTTGCACGCTACTGATGACTTGCATGAATACTGATGAGTAGTGGGTTGCATTTAATCATAATATAATATTATTTTATACTATGGAGGACTGGGCTGTTGAAAAATGTATTCCTGTTTTTAAAGGTAAGTAATTTAAATAATTAGTTGAAATTTACCATTATTATTTGAGTACCCTGGACACAGTTGCGGGTCGTGGTCAGGTGGGTTAAGGAGGCTAATGGTGGATTTATGCATCACACATTAACTTAATTTATATTTTGCCAAATGGTGACATGTATGTTGATATATATGATATATATGAACAAGTAATTTTGTACCCCAGGAGCAGACTTATGACTTTTATGTATTATATGTAATAGGTTAATTTATGTACCAAAAAGTATTTTTAAGTTTTGGAAGTATTTATAGAGTTTAGGGTTTTCTATCTTTATTTATAAGACTGTTTTATGCAATAAAGATTAGTGTTTATTATTAAAAATTTTAATTAATTTTTACTCCCTAATATACCAATAAATATTACTAGATTAGATGAAACCAATAAAACATTATTAATTAAAAAAATGTATCTTCTATTCTAAATTAATACTTTTTATTAATTCAAATAAAATAATTATTTAATTTAAATAAATTAATTTTAAATAAAATAAATTATCTGTTTGACGTAAATAAAAACATTTTTTTAATTTAAAAAAATACATGTTTGTTACTTGGTTTTATTTCATACAAACTATAGTCCATTCCATTTAAGAAAAAAGCGCTGAGTTGAATAGGATTTATTATTGACCAATCACGACGCTTAAAATTGTGGCTTTTATTACACAGGCGAAAATTTAAAACCCATCTCTTTTTAATACGTTGGATGTTGATATAACGTAGTTCTCTTACACTGAATATTTTCTTATACAGCGTTGCCATGGCTTCTAAAAACAAATTTACAAACTGACATAATAATATTATTTAATAAACCAGCAAGAGTTCTTATAATATTTAAATTATAAAATTATATTATATTAGCTTTTGTCGTCAATTTGTCAAAAATATTTTAAATATAGAAAGAATATAACTTTTCAAAAGGTTGGATTGGCAACGTAGCATCAGCTGTTATAATACAAAGTGTATATTTTGTTAATTTATTACATGTTCTGTAATTTTTTTGCCTTTATTTAACGTATTAACCGTTGTTAATAAATTGTTATTGAAAAACAGGTAAGTCAATTACATTAAAATTGCTTAACATAACCAAAGAAAAATATTTTTATATTTTTGAGAGACAATATTGATAATATGGACAATATAAACAATTTGGAAAACCAACCCTTTGTCCTAAAAAACAAATCTGGCCAATATATTGGACGAGGTCAAAGAACAATACTTTTTAATATAATAAAAAAACATATCGATGAAGGAAAATCAAAAAGTGCCAGTGTAATATTAACATCTGAAGAAACTGGTATTTCAAAAAGTACCATTTGGTCCACCATCAAACAAATGGAACATGACGGAAAGGCTCCATCCCCATTAAAGAAAAGAAAGCGGGCAAGTCAATATGACAAATTGAGTGAGGAACAAAAGAAGCGCCTAAGAAAAGTTGTTCATAACTTATAAATAATGAAATACCAAATTGAAGTAAAATTTATCAAGTAAGTAATTATGTTATTGAAATATGTTTAATAATTGATTAGAAAAATATTAATGTAAATAATAAATAAAATAGGGGGTAGGTGTACCAGGTGCTGTCAAATAATAAAAATTGGTTTTGCTTTAAATAAATAGGTTTTTTTTATTAAAACAAACGTTTTGTGTATAAACTAATTGTTTTTCCTTTTTTTAGTCCGTAAAGGATGATGAAAACTTACCACCAATTTCTCTGACAAATTTATGGAGAGTTTTAAAAAAACTTGGCTTCAAGTATGAAAAAAGGGGTACTGGTTAAAAAAAGTGAAATAGTAATTTGGAGAAGAAAATATATTGATAATATCAGGAGTTACTGATTACAGGATTAATAAATATATTACATGGATGAGATTTGGATCAATGCAGGACACAAAGCCCAAAGTGTGTAAATGTATTTGAGCAAAAGTCAACAGGGAATTATCATGAGGATATGAATGGAACTGTTTTTGAGACTTGGATAAAAAATGTTTTACCAAAATTAAAAAAAAACATTGTTATTGTGATGGATAATGCCCCCTATCATTCTGTTAAAATTGAAAAAAATCCATCAGCAGCATGGAAATTGGGAGGTCATTTTGACGTGATTTGTCTCTGTAAAATTTTGTTTTTTTTTTAATAAAACCTTCATTAATTGCATTTGTATTTTATTTAAGCCTTACTTTAAAAAACAAGATTTAATTTTTTAAATAGCTTTTTTCAGTGGGGGTAAGTAGGGTCTTCATGATAGTAGTTACATAATTTGTTCAGAATGAATGTAAAAAAAATCCAAATTTTTACAATAGCTATTTTATTTTCTTGATATTGGTTAATTTGTTTAACCCAAAATATCTCTTAGCAAATAATGTTACGAGTAGCAATCGCTTATAAAGAACCGTAATAAACCATAAACGATGGTCCGCTGTTTGTTATTTTAGAAAAAATAAACAAATTTCATATACTTTGGTTCGTAGATATTATTCGAGTTTATTTGTTTTAACCGAAAGTGCGCTTTACCAGGTTCGTAATAAGCGGACATACATGTATGTATACTTTATATTAAAAAATGCACTTTTCAAATCCATGGATGTATGCTTACACTCAAAGAAAAAAATAATTTTTTTCGTTCATTTACCATTTAATTTTTCTTACATGTTTAACAAAACTCGGTCTATTTGTTAATTACAAAATTTTTATATTATAAAATCATAAAAATTTATTAAAACATTAAAATATGTACTATTTTCCACATCAATAAAATGAACTGACATTTAAATAAGAAATGCAGTTAAATAATTGAGGTTATGTTGCTCAAATTAATGTTTATTTCTTCTTATTTTCTGAAAGTAATATACATACATGTATACATGTATTTTTCTGTGCCTAAAGGTCTTAATTGGTATTGTAAATTATTTTTCATGGTATAATACATTCAAGGTTGCTATTATTTTTCCATATTTGTTGTAACATAATAATATTCTATCAACGACATCTGCCATTATATTTAAATTTCCCGCGTACTCCTGTGTAAACCTGTCTCGTTTTGCAGCGACATCTACTTTATTCTTAAATGGAATGGACCATAGTCATATTTGTTTGGTTAAAATAAATTAATTTTAATTAAATAAATTAAAAGAAATAAATATTTTTTTACATTCAAAAGAACATTTATTTGGGTATACCGAAATAAATAATTTATTTGATATACATAACATTTATCTAATTCAAATAATCTTTTTTCTCTGTGTAGAATAATATAATAACGCACAAAAACACAACAGAACAAAACGATATACCGTTTATACACACACGAGGTCACAGAACATATATGTTTATAAAAGAATGATAGAAATGAAAGTTTCATTATGAAACTTTTTTGTATTGAAAATTATTAAAATATTTCAATTTTGCAATACTGTCACAGATGTCAGTTTTACCGATTTTATTTAGGTACTGTCGTCTATGGTTACCTCTACTTTTTTAAGATATGTTCCCGATATAAAGAATTCTGCAAATAGAGCCACCTAGTGAGAATTCCGCTCTGAAAAACACTGTATCAAAGAACCAATGCCAATTCGAACCCCGTGGGCATGGCATGTTTAATACGATATTGCTAAAAAAACACAAACCTAAATGTGCAACTGAGTTGACACAGGGTCCAATTGTAAATGGTAAAAATAAGATTTTTTTTGTAAATTTTAAATGGTCACCATTTTGTTCCTGGTTGTTCCGGTTCAATTTGTATTTTATAATATGAAATGCACATTTACTACCCAATTAAATAAAGCATCAATAAATTCAATACCTACCTATTCTAAGTAAAAAGCTATTGTCCATTATGTATAAGTATGAAATTGTCCCAATTTTTGACTTTGGATGGATATTGACTATATACGATGAAAAAAATAATGGTGGTGTTACCTCAAAGATTATCCTCCATTTTTTTTATTAAAATTAAAAATCACGCGTCATATTAATTTAAATTTGTTGATTTCATATGGAATAACTCTTTCTTAATAATATTTTCATTAATGATTTTATATTATGCAGATAAACCAGAATGCAGAAAGTGCTCCAAAGTCCTTCAAGAACTAGAAAATATAGATGATGAGGCAGATCAGTTGGGCATTGGGTTCGTGAAAATCAATGATGAAATGCTAGCAGAAGAATACAATTTAGGAACATTGCCAGCTCTTGTATACTACCGACATCAAATTCCTATTATTTATGAAGGTAATTTTTTTTAATAGGCTTTTCTTATGTAAATTTTATATTTAAACCATTTTTTCTACTCCCACCTTTAAAACGCCCTTTATCGTACATGTTTCCATGACACTAAGTGACCCTTTAAATACACATTGACAAGTTGTGGTTTTATGGCGCTTTAGTCACGGGCTGAAGTTAGCAACAGGTTTTTAGTCACGGGCTTAAGTTTGTTTTAAGTTAGTTGACAGTTGTCAAATGTCATACAATCGTTAAAATAAAGTGCCTTTCTTGTAAAATAATACTAAATGTGAACATTATTTTATTATCTCAATACAAAAATAGAAAAGTATTAAATAGTTTCTCAACGCCAATATTTGAAAAGTTCATATGAACATTGTACTGACCTTTTGATTTCGCCGGTAGTAAACTATAACTTAAATTCGGGCACGTACTCCACTGTAAAGTGCTTATAAAACATTTTCTTTACTTTCATTGTGAAAAACTGTCAATTTTTAAGAAATACATTTCGATTTATAACCTTTATAATCTGTGTTTATATAATATAAAAATTTGACATTTGACGGTGACACACAGATTCCCCTATTGTTTCATAGATGGCGCTCCATACAAATTTTTGATTTAAATCATTTTAAGATAATAATAAGTATTTTTATAAAAAAGTATAGTATGCACCTCGTTTATAAACTTTTCTATACACTCATTAATTTAAGCACTCGCTCGCAAGGTCGCTCGTGCCTAAATTAAATTCGTGTACAAAATGGCGTTTATCAAACTTGATACATAATATACTATTAAAATCATGAATAAAATGTTTAGCGATTACATTAATAACTTCAAATAAATTTGACATACTAGTATGTGATTTATTTCAATACGACGACCAAAAATCGTTTATCAAAAAGCATCGATTTAAAGTAAAAAGGTTTTAGCTATAACAGTGAGTGCTAAATTATTATTAAGAAATATTAAAAATTGTTTTGTTTTATCTGAAAAATTATAATTATAAGTTATGCTATAATTTTTTTATATGTATTAATAATATAAAACCAAATTAATGTAAATGTCTTTGGACTTGTGTAGTGCGATGCACTTATCGAAATCATTAGTTAGGATTTTATTGTTATAAACTAACATTCTTTTACCGCCTTACGTAAGTAGGCTACTTCCAACTATTGTTACTGAATAAGCAAATATACTTATGATGTGTAACAACGAATTATCGACATATAGAAATAAAGTTGATAGTGTACAACAACGACGTGCTTAATTTTCAACACCCCAATACTGTCCGTTCAGGCTAAGTTGAGCGGTTTGGAATGTCACCCTGTCCATCATCTCTATGTTCAGGCACAATTAAATACATGTATTTCGGTAGCCGCTCTGTACGAACAAACGGCAAGCCGCGGCACTGATAAATCATCTTCTTGTTACCGAAATCTCGCGACGATTCGATATTTAATTTAATCAACGGCCACATTGTCCCCCACCAAAGCGCTCAACTTAGCCTGAACGGACTGTACTTCAGGCATTACATGGCGATCCTGCCATTTCTGATTGCGTATCAGAAGACTCCAGGATTAAAATAAATGTAACAGTGACACCCCATCCAAGTGCCTAAAAACAAAATGGGTAAAACGAACTCAAAACACAGCGAAGTTACTGATACCGGAGTCGTAAACTCTAACTTTATAGTTGAGGAGGACTCAATTAAAGTGCCAAGTGATATCCGTGTTTTGTTGTATATCATCACTTTCGGACTTTTGTTACTTTTAGTATTAAAAATACAAAAAGCATATCGAAGAGGAATAAAGAAAAACCTATCTCGTAGTATGGTTCTCAGATCGCAGGCTGGTGACGTTTAAAGTTAAGTGCCCCAAATAAAGATGCGATAATGCCAAAAGTACTGGACTACCATCTAGTGTAAATCCAAAACCCACTGAATGATAGCTGTTAGTGTCAACCGTATGGATATGGACAACGTTTGGTATGAAGATATCCTTCCTTCGTAGCGCATCTCTATAGAAGCCTCTCCCAACAAACTGCTGCTCCAAAGGACCAGAAATATCCTTCTCGTCGGATGCAAGTTACGTTAGTGTGTGATCAAGGTACGTGCTATTACAGTTAAACAGTTTAATAACCTACCGAAAAAACTTTAATTAGTGATTTTAACCATACGTGTAGTTCTAAAGTAGACCAAGTCGTAGATAAAATTGTCAAAAATATATTTTTATTATGTCATAATATGGTTAATTTTAAATTATTTTATTAGTTAACGACTTTTATGTCTGCCGACTGGGAACGGACCTTTGCTCACCTTGTCGAAATTAAAGAATTAATAATAAAAGAGTCAAAAAGGGTTTTAAAAACAAAATTGCCAAATGCGGAGAAAGTTAAAAACGAAGTTAGGGATAATCTATTACATTTTTATAACAAATTTATAAGCATAATAAATCAATTTTATCTAACCTTAGACGAAACAAAAAGACACCTAATTAAAAAGCTTTTTGCGACAGTTAGAGATAGATTAGTAAGAGCATATCAAGTTTTAGGGGTAGATTATAAAATTCCTAGCTCGTGTCTTGAATGTATTAACACTAATATTAAAGACGAGATAGTTGACATTGACATTGACGATGACGACGAAGAGGACGACGCCGAGCAGGACCTAGAACTAAAGGATAATTCAGAAAATAAATGATCAAATACAGACAACAAAACAAAAGCACTCGCAATGGCTATGACAAAACTAGAATTTTTTAATCTATCAAGTAGAATTTTACCAAGCGAATTTGACGGTTGCCCTGACAAATTACAGTCATTTTTGGATGCAGTAGATTTGCTAGAAACAAATGTTGAAGGGCACGAGGAAAATGTTGTCTCCTTTGTCAAAACCAAACTCACTGGCAAAGCCCGAGACCTAATCTGCGATAATGACAAACTACAGGAGATTAAACTAAAAATTAAAAAAGGAATAAAAACAGAAAACTCCCACTCGGTGACTGCGAAACTCTCAAACCTAAAACAAGGAGAAATAGAAAACTCAGAGTATGCAAAAGAAATTGAAGCGCTAGCATGTAGCCTAAAGAAAGCTTACATAAGTGAGGGAGTTCCAGAAACTGTAGCTGAGGAGTATACTACCAACACAGAGGTTAAAACATTGGTCTCCAACTCAAGCTCTGAAAAAGTGAAACTTATTATGGAGGCTGGCAGTTTTTCTACTACACAAGACGTTTTAACATCAGTTGTGATAGAAGCGCCACTGTACTCTTTGCAGAACGGCAAAGAGGACGTGGATTCCAAGATAGAGGACATTCCCACAGGAGAGGGCAGTATAAAAACTACCGATCTCAGCAAAATTCGCATTACCGGAACTTTCGAGGTAACAGTCAAAATAGGTTTTTCGAAGTAAGAAGCAGGCCAAGTCGAGGAAATTTTCGAGGAAGGAACAGAAACGACAGATTCGTAAGAGCATATGAGGCGGAAACGACGCAGGAAAACCGCATGGATTCCCAACTGGGTCCTGTGGGGGAATCCTAAGAATATTTAACATGGACCTTTCTCTTTCGAATTTTGTAACTTTTAAGACCCAAATGACAAACAACGAGACAGTTACTCTGTTGGTAGACACAGGCGCTGATATTTCATTATTTAAAAAGAAAAAAAATACCCCGGAACAACTAGTCAACAGATCAGAAGCGAGCAGAATTAAAGGCATTACAGACGGATTAACGAACTCCATAGGGACCACAAAAACTTATATATATATATATATATATCGGTAACTACACGGTAAAACATCAATTTCATATAGTCAGCAATGATTTTCCTATACCCGCTGATGGAATTATTGAAAGAGATTTTATTACAAGATACCAATGTCAGCTAGACTACCTTAACTGGGTTATGACAATAAGAACAATAAACAAAAACATATTCTTACCAATTTATAACAGCCCAGACGAGAATACGCTGGTGATCCCACCGCGCTGCGAAGTGATAAGGAAGCTAAACGACGCTAAGTATCTAAAAGAAGACACAGTGGTCCACAATGAAGAACTAAGCCCTTGTGTTTTTTTAGCTAGTACTATCATTAATACAAGCAGCCCATTTATCAAAGTCTTAAATACAACATCCGAAAGAGTTACAATCAAAAACTTTAAAATAAAAACGAGCAACGTCAGTGATTACGAAATTTACCACACAGAAAACTACAAAGATAATAGAGATAAGGAACTCCTACAGGAATTAAATAGTGACATCCCAGAACCAAAGATGACACGATAGCGTTATGTAAAGAATTCACAGATATTTTTGGTCTGAGTACAGATAAACTGACCTACAATAATTTTTATGAACAAAAAATTAAACTAACGGACCAGTCACCGGTTTACATAAAAAATTACAGAACCCCACACGCACAAATATCAGAAATCGACTTACATGTTCAAAAAATGATAGACGATTCCATAATAGAGCCATCAACTGCTGCATATAACAGTCCAATTTTGCTTGTCCCGAAAAAATCGAACACGGCTGATAAAAAATGGAGGTTAGTCGTAGATTACAGACAGTTAAATAAAAAACTTGTAGCAGACAAGTTTCCACTACCAAGAATTGACGACATTCTGGATCAACTTGGTAGAGCAAAATGGTTCTCAACGTTGGATCTTAAGTCAGGCTTCCATCAAATCCCGCTAGAAACAAACTCACGAGATCTGACAACGTTTAGTACGAACACCGGTTCCTACAGGTTTACCCGATTACCATTCGGTTTAAAAATAAGCCCAAATAGCTTTCAACGCATGATGAGCATAGCATTCTCAGGAGTTACTCCCGAAAAAGCCTTTTTGTACATGGATGACCTTATAGTAATTGGATGTTCCAAAAATCACCATCTACAAAACCTCAGAAAAGTCTTCGAAACCTGCCGGAAATTCAATCTTAAATTAAATCCTAAAAAATGCAAATTCTTTCAAAATAATGTCACTTTCCTAGGTCATAAAATA